GGGGGGGGGGGGGGGGGGGGCAAATACGAAAACGAGCACAGCAAGTGAGCCCAAAAAAACGAACTCGTGTTGGTGCAAGCATGATCTCGACATGGGGCAAAGAGTCCAAGATGCACGCGGTTCCGTGGGCGCATGTATGCCCTCCTAGATTGAAACCAAGGGTTTAGCCTGGAAAAGTCGCAAGAAGAGGTGAGGGGGGCGGGCTCCGCTGCAATAACATCCTAGACGTTGGGGGTAGGAGGACAAACACACCGCGAGTGGCAGGCAGGCTAAACCACGTGGTGTTCGCATTATTGCTGGCCTAAATGAACCACTCACCCGGGTGCACGACTCCAGGGGCACACTACCCGCCACAAAATAGCAACCACTAAAATTCAGAGCCATGGCAAGTCCCTCTCCTGATCACTGACACACCGGGGAGGTAAGCAAACCGACCACGCAGCAAAACAACGCGAGTTTTAGCAACATCATACGTAGAGCGCACCTGCGCCCGTGTGTCGCGGCTTCGGCCAACCCCCACAGAAAAGCACCCCTGGCGAATACCAGGCTCAGGACGTGGGTGAATGCCCCCGCCTGCCTCTCCCGAGAGAGGTTGGGGAAGTTGTCGTCCCAGAAAGTAGTCTCTTCATCGATCAGCTGCATTTCCATCACCTGAGTCGACGCGCGAGGGAATTGTGATGCTTGCATTCATACCGCGGGGGACGGAGTACTACTCGTGGAAAGCCTGCGAACACGGGGATTGGTGCCTTCTTTTGAATTAGGACGGGGCGGGGGTCCACAGGGCAGAGGAAAGGAGGGGCTTCAAACGTGTGACGTACGTACATTGAAGTACATTGCTTCCCGCGGACGTATCGCTCATCTTCCTAGGATGAAACTCGGGCCTCTTTTTTGTGAGGAGACCATACGTCGAGCGACTGACTGCTTGTTGAAAACCCGACCTGGGAGTGTGGCGAACACCACCAGAGCCTCTCTATGCTTTTTTAACCCTTTGAAACTACACCCTGACTTGGAGACCCGGCACAGCTGCACGGCACAGCCCCCCCCCCCCCCCCCCCCCCCCCCCCCCCCCCCCCCCCCCCCCCCCCCCCCCCCCCCCCCCCCCCCCCCCCCCCCCCCCCCCCCCCCCCCCCCC